AGCTTCTTTGTTTGATGTGTCTGTTTCCTTTTCTCAATGAGGCTTTTTGACAGCTACACATCCTTTCAGACCCTCAGCGCTGAGTCGTCTTCTCATCGTGGAAGGATGGACAAAAATACCTGTGGATTTTTAAGATCTGAAGCAGCTTGATTTTCTCCTCTCTCAAAGATGAAAACTTTTAAGTGCTGTTTATCTAATGGGGACAGTTTTGGTGTCTACCAGGTCTTTCACAATTCCATTCCATTTTCTCTTCTTTTACTAATCTTTTGAACTCCAGGAAGTTCCTGTTTTTTTCACATATTTTCCTTTAACTTAATGGCCATATTGACCGGAAATTAAATAAATGAAGAGCAGTCTCTGACATTTGCATGGCACTGTACGTACTGTGGTTATGAGTGTGAGGAATTGGAGGTGTGGGGCCACATACTAGAGTTTAAAGGGGTTAAGTGCTCTAAGAAGAGTGCAATTGTTGAAATAAAATATTACAAGAAGAGAATATAAGAATGTTATGTTTATTGCCATGGCATAATTAACAAAAATATTATGGGGCACAGCTGCAGCTCCTCCTCCTTTAAATCACAAAATTTCTTATGAATTTCAATCTCTACTTTATATTTCCTGATAACGTTTTTGCACCCCACCACCACCCCACCTCTTCCCTGTGTCTCTGAGTTTTCTCCTCTCCTACAATCATACAGTCTCTGTTGCAAATAGATGTTTAAAGCATGGTCCAAACTCGCAGTGTTTATAGGCTTGAGATAAACATGCAGTGGCATAGAAATAGGTCTAGAGTTTGTTATAATGATGCAATACTTTGATTATTGTGGAGTAGTTTGCTTTTTAATGTTGCCTTATTGGTGGATGGGATAAAGACCGCATTCTTTGATGAATGGGAAGCTTTGAAGACTGGAAGCTTAAGCAGGCTTGGTCTCAGGCTCTGATTGTTTAAAAAAGCTGATCAGTGGTTCACCTTGGCTCATACTGACTTTGCTGTTTTAAATCAACTCATGATTTGTGTAATATTGGCTTTCATTAGAATGCAAAGCTATATCAATGGGACAGGGCCAAGAGGTGCATGCAAGGAGGCTAGTGCAGATGTCTATCGCACAGGTAAGAGGATGTGTGCTTAAGGACATAAATGAAAGACATTTATATCATGTATAAGAACTGAACAACATCTGAAATAACATTGTATGGCTGCTGGCACTCAGGGTGGCTGGGTCCTGCTGCAGAACTGCCATCTAGGACTTGAGTTCATGGATGAGCTGCTGGAGACAGTGAGCACAGTTGAGACTATGCATGATTCCTTCAGGGTTTGGATCACCACAGAGCCCCACAGTCGCTTTTCCATCACCTTGCTGCAGGTTCTGTTTACTCTCCACTTCTTCATACACGATTACAATGTCTTGACATGTTTTTTATTCTTGTTTGTTTATTACTATTAAGAAATATTATAGGTTTATCAAGGGAAAATGTATTTTTCATTTTACAGTCCTCCATCAAGTTTACCAATGATCCTCCCCAAGGAGTCAGAGCTGGACTGAAGCGTACCTTTGTAGGAATTTCTAAGGAACAGTTAGACTTCATTAACTTGCCCATGTGGAAACCCTTGCTTTACAGTGTTGCCTTTTTACACACTGTTGTGCAGGTAATTGTGTCTTGGCTTAGACATCTTGCGTGGTTTTACAAAATAATGCATGCAGACATTTTAACCTAGGACTGGGCAATATCAGTGTATATCGTTGTCGTGATGGATTATGTCACAATACAGTATGCTTTTTTAAACATAGCATGTATATTGTCAGAACTTGTAGAATACTGACCAACTGCATGCTTTATTGTGAAGAGAGCAAAATTAGTTTTATTTAACTGAATTTAGTGCAACATACTGGGCCAAATATTGAATAAAAATTTTGTTCACAGTTTTTGATAGTATTTTTTAAAATGTACTACTGGTACTTCTTTCTTCCCAGTTCCAACTGATCGTATGTCTGAAACAATAAATATTGTGACACGTGTATCGTGAAATTTTTTTTTAGTATCAAATTATTAGATGCTCTATTTTAATCTGTAATTTCACAGGAACGTCGCAAATTTGGGCCCCTGGGTTGGAATATTCCCTACGAATTTAACTCAGCAGACTTCACAGCAAGTGTGCAGTTTATTCAGAACCACTTGGACGAATGCAGCCCTAAAAAGGTCCAAAGTGTTTTTTTAAAAGTCATAAGCTATGGTGTCTGCTGTACTGGTGCTGACTTGTTTAGCATTCTCCTGCAGGGAGTATCATGGGTTACAGTGCGTTACATGCTTGGAGAAGTGCAGTACGGAGGGAGAGTCACAGATGACTATGATAAACGACTTCTCAACTGTTTTGCACGAGTATGTTTTCCCTTGAACACCAAACTTGAATAAAATGATAAGAGATTTTGAATGAAAAAGTGAACTGTATTAAACTGTACTTCTGTTCAATAGGTGTGGTTCAATGACAAAATATTTGATCCATCATTCTGCTTCTACACTGGCTACAAGATTCCAGTATGCAAAACAGTTGATCAATACCTGGAATACATTCAGACCCTGCCAGCTGTAGACAGTCCTCAAGTATTTGGACTGCATCCTAATGCTGACATAACGTAAGGCTCAGCAAGGCATCTGCACATTCTTACACTCGTATACATTGTCACATATACATTCTCTATTGATAAAAGGAAGCAACACAGCAACATAGAGCAGGTTAATGAACATTCCATCATAAACTATTTAATGTGACCAACAGTTTATATGGTCTCAGATTTCTTTCTCTTGCTTCATTTTGACAGGTATCAATCGAACACTTCAGCCGAAGTGCTGGACACTATTACTAACATTCAGCCTAAAGAGAGTGGTGGTGGCGCCGGTGAGACCCGAGAATCAATTGTTTATCGCCTTGCTCAGGATATGCTGGATAAACTTCCTCCAAACTATGTTCCCCACGAGGTACTCATTACTACCAAATACACGGTCTAGCTCTCTCTTTCTTTTATGAATTCACAGTATTTAAAACAATGAAAGACCTACACTGATATATTTGAATCAAATCCTTTTTCTCCTTCACATTTTTGAGTCGCTTACCATAAATGTCATTGTTGAGGCAATTTAAGGTTCCTGATCTGTGAACTTTAGAGAACATCTCTGTATCCTTTTACTATCTTTATCTGATCATCATACAAGCTTGTTGCTAGTAAGGCAGTGCATAATATTTTACTTTTGCCTATCTGGGAAATACTCAACCATTTTGGTATAGCTTAAGATGGCATATTCATTTAAAGGATATATTATGCATAATTTACATTGCTTGTGTCAGTTCAGTTACTTACATCCTGGCTTGAAGTTTGTTAAAACTGGCATTTGACCCACTACTTGCCAGGGTCTCAAGCCAGGTTTGTGATTAAAACTTGTCACTTTTTTGTTAAACAAGTATGTCTGACATTACACATAGGCTGCACAGTCTATTAGGCTGTTATGGTTTGGTAATAAATCACCTTGGTATGCTCTCCTACTCTCAAATCAGCAAATCTCTTGGTGCAGTCCAGATTTGCTGGCATGTAATAAACCGGCAGTAGTTCTAGACCAAAAAGCTTAAGGCACAAGACCCTAATGGCACTCAGGCTCATTTTTGCCAACCATACCCAATATTTTGGTAATGTTGGGTTTGCATGCACTTTCAGTATAGTCACATGAGAGTTAGCAGTTGTTGTAACTTTTTACTTGAACAGGTTAAAGCTAGACTTGGAAAAATGGGAGCTCTGAACTCCATGAACATCTTCCTGCGTCAAGAGGTTGACCGCATGCAGAGGATTATTAGTGTACTGCGCACTAGCTTGAATGACCTTAAATTGGCCATTGAGGGCACAATTATTATGAGTGAGGTAAGAATTATTTGATGTTTACTGTTAATTTTTTTCCCCTCTTGTGGTAGTAATTTTCTAATTGTTGACATCTGTCTCTTATCTGTACAACATGACCATAACAGATTGCCCTGAATCTCTGACAACTGTTAACCAGGCTGAAATCTGTACTGTTTGGTTTGGCTGTGTCACCATTGTTTTATAAATGTTATACATTCTTAGCTCATTTAAATAAATTTTGTGGCCTGTTAAAATATTGTATTTTCATTTAGAACCTCAGGGATGCTCTCGACAACATGTTTGATGCTCGTGTACCAAACTTGTGGAAGAAGTTGTCTTGGGAATCATCTACCTTGGGGTTTTGGTTCACTGAACTGTTGGAGAGAAATATTCAGTTTCACAGCTGGGTCTTTGAGGGCAGGCCCAAAACATTCTGGATGACTGGCTTTTTCAATCCTCAGGGTAGGCTAACATATGGACCTATATAAACAAAATCTATAGGCAATATGATTTTTTGTGTACACCTAATATGTATCTGCTACACTGATTCATAAAGAAATTTACACCATATAATTTACTGTTCATGACAAAATACCAATAACCATTAAAAAAATGTAATTCAAATGTATAATTATTCCTAACTCACCTAGTATCTCTTAGGTACTTAATAATGAGTAACTTTGTGTTGCAGGTTTCCTGACAGCTATGAGGCAGGAGGTGACAAGGGCGCACAAAGGCTGGGCTCTGGACACAGTTACTCTGCACAATGAAGTGCTGAAGCAAACCAAGGAAGAGATCACTGCTTCACCAGCCGTAAGTTTAACATATAACAAGTATAAGAGGCATATTGGTAAGATGATGGGCATTAAGGGTGCACAGTATGTCACAGTGAATGCTATTTGACCAGTAATGCAAAATTATAAATGTAATTTCATCTGTCCAATATTGGTATTATAGATGGTAATTACAAGCAATACTTGTACAGCTTGCTCTTAGTCTGCGCACACTGCAGCATGTATAGTCGGTATTGCTGACTGTTCTTTTCAGCTTAGTCAAATGAAGAGCATAGTAGATAATAACACCACACTCCCACTGCAAAAAAAAACATGAGGGTTCAGTTCCTGCTCTGCTTTATTAAAAAATATACACAGACAGCTATTCTAGTAAAAGTCGTTGGACAAGCCTGTAATGCTACATTCACCTACTTTTGTAAGTAGCTGTGAAAGTCTGCTAAGTAATATATAACATTTAAATACAGTCATGTAGATGTTCACAGCAATTGACATCACTCATTTAGCTATGTCACAGCAATGTAATGTAAAATAAATCACTAATTAATTTTTAACCCATCTAGTGTGAGCTTGCCTTAAAATAAAAAAAGATTATCATTATTTTTATTGATCTAAATATTGCCAGTGACAAGGTGTTAAATATTTGTTATTGTCAACCCAGAAATTCCACACTGGTGCATCCCTATTATTAACTGTGATTCCACTGCTTCCTTTATGCTGTAGGAAGGAGTGTATGTGTATGGTCTGTACCTGGATGGGGCTGGCTGGGACCGCAGGAATTGTCGCCTCACGGAATCCACACCCAAAGTGCTGTTCACCCCTCTTCCTGTAGTGCACATGTTTGCCATCAATTCCATTGCCCCTAAAGATCCTAAGCTTTACATATGCCCCATCTACAAGAAACCAAGACGTACTGACCTCACCTACATCACAGGAATAGTCCTACGCACAGTACAGCCACCTGACCACTGGATACTGCGTGGGGTTGCACTGCTCTGTGATATTAAGTGAAAGCAGTTTGTAAACGTAAACATGAATGCTTTTGTTTGTTTTCTTTTTAATTAGTTAAACTGATTTTCTTGGAGACAGAGAGAATGCTGTTTATCAAAAATAATTAAATGATCAATAGCAGTTGAAAGTCCAGAGCAGGAGTTTTATGTACGTCTTTAAACAGCTGTCACTGGCCAGCATTCTGCATTGTCTGCTGTTGTGCATGTGCCAAGTGTTGCCAATTTGAAACTGTTAAAATCTATACACAGTGGTACTCAGAAGTTAAGTGATGTATGATAAATTGTACTACATATCACGCTGTGTTTCTAGTGGCCCCTTTCATGAGTGACCTGTTTTGACAGCAGGGCAGATGCTGTCTGGATGTTTTGTCTATGCAAATATAGATGTGCATATATATTTATACAGACATACAGCTAATAATCAAATGCATATGAATAGGGTCATGTGTTATGAATTAGTTTATCAAGAGAAAATTTAAACCACCCATATCCAGTAAATTGCCCTGAAAGCTGTTTGCTCAGAAAGCCTTATTTCGAGATGTCACTACATTGACAAAACGCCAAAGTTTATAATGCAACTTGGGTGCAGGGAAAAAGTGGGAGTGTATGTAACTAAGGCACTAGGTTTATGTTTTAGCTATATTTGTGAATGTTTGCTTAAACAATTATAAATGCATTGTTTATGTATATTGTTTATTGCTACATGAACAAAACTAGGTCACTCATGAAAAAGGCTGATATCATCTACAAAGGGGACATTACTCCAGTACAGACTTCTTCTGTGTCATATCTCCCATTCAAGTTCCAGTTATATGTGGGAGCTGCACTCAAACATGACTTGTATACAATATTTCACATTTTAGCCCTCCTCATATTAGTCACTCTTTGATTTCCTCTGTTTCAGACTGTCCAGAAGGTAATGTGTGCAGAAAATTAGTTGTGTCTTAAAGCTGGACAATGCAGACATCATCCATTTCTTCTGCAGCAGTGTTCTAACCAGTTTTCAGTAGTCCGTCATGACCTCACTCTGTCGGCCATGGGTCTGTACCCCATCTCGCCCTCTAGCTGTTCAGCAGTTAAAGTGCCCAAGATTGGCTGGCAGTCAGGATTAAACACAGAGTAAGCGCTGAGCTCTCCGGGTTGTCTCGCAGTGGGACTCCGCAGACCCTCATAGATCCAGTAGAACAGAGACAGGAGAAAGAATGGCAGCCCAAATTCAAGCTCAGAGAAAAGGCCAAGTAACACCAGCCAAAGCAGCACTTTCAGCAGGGTCAGGTTGGTAAAGGCCAATCGCTGCACACCCAGCCAGCGGCCCAGAGCACTGTCCAGCAGCCAATCAGAGCCTTCCTGGGGAAAAAAAGCAAAGCTAACATTAGTAACAAATACTAGAATGCAATAGTCATCCAATAGCCTAAATAATTTCTGAAAAAACACATCAGCAAAACGTATTTCAACTCGCTCAAAAAAGCATCCAGGTCTTCATTAAGGTCGCGCAGATTTGTTAGCCCGGTTTATATTTAGTACGAACTATAAAAATGAACAAAAGCAGCCGGCTAACAGTTACTTTACACAGCAGTATCTGTAGTCACAAACCACCTCGGAGTCGGAGTGTTGATCTAACCAAGTAAACTATGGAGCCCTGTTTACGGCACCGGAAAAAATATAACCTACAGCCATTTAGTAAGTCATAAAAATGTGTGTTTTACACAATTATGGCTTAGTATCTCATCACTTTGCTATGTCATGAGTATGACTTACAATCTCATAATTGACTTGGCATCTAATAATCGACTTACACCAAGTCATAACTATGAGGTGCTAAGTCATTATTATAACATACTATGTCATGATTATGAGATACTAAGTCGTTATTATGTAAAACTTGACTATGATGACACTAAATCGCTATATATTTTTCCTGTGGCGGAAACGAGCTTCCTTAGTGAACAGCATAGTGATGTAGTTGGAATAAAACATTCATACTGCAGTACCTTTTTGTTAAACTATAAACTGTGCTCTAAGTCTGTGTTCTGGAGAGCAGTGAACTGTCAACACAACCTTCTCTTTGACTTTCTCTGTATTCTCTGCTTTCTTCTGTGCCTCTGCTGGAGAGTCTGACGTGTCTGTTTCCACCAGCGGCTCAGTCGGACCCTTCTGCAGCTCACGTCTCTCTTTCTGTGCGCTTTTCTCCGCTTCCATCTCGGCTCTCCTTCGGGCTCTGAACTCTGCCAGCTTCTGCTCCATGTTTATACATTAAAAGGGCTCAAAACTTAAAGAGAAACCGATTAGCTCAGTGGACAAGCCGAAGGGCACCAACAGTTCCTGCTTTTTTTGCTGCACACGGTCAGATTTCAGCGACGCACCGGTGTGTTTACTGTCGGGAGTCTGTGTGCAGTTCGGCTCTGTTTTCGACCAGCAGCGCTTTACTGTAAGTACAGAAACAACTAACCATCACTCATTACACAGTGTTCACATGATGAGGAACAGTGATCAATTACAGAGGACGCAGGAGGTACTGTAACTGTAGATACAGCGCAGGTCGGCCCTGTATAGCGTTAACACAAGCTGGCTGTGTTCCCATTGGCGAACTTGCGTGCTGCACACTAGTACACTAGCTAATTCATTTTTAGTTCGAATAAACTTAAAATCTATTGAATAATGTTTTCAGTTGGATTACTGTCTTCTCTCTTAATCATATGCGAGTTGTAAACATGGTATAAATCAACATAAGCATTACACCTGATCTAGAGTAGAACATTTTGTAGACGCTATTTTATTTAGTCCCTTGATATAGGAGTTGATAATCCCAGTCCGGGGATCCCACACTATATTTGTTCTTCCCCTCATTTTACAAACCTGATGAAGTAGTTCTAAAGTATGTAACTCTGGCTCGTACAATAGTTCTGTCCGCTGTCGATCTGAAACGGACCCTACGCACTAGCCAGGGGCACTAGTTAGTACACAAGTTCGGTTATTGGAGCGGCCGCTGATTTGCTTTCTCATATTTACATTCATTAATGCTAACTATGTCGACCGTTACTGTGGTACTATACACTCTTAAAAAGACAATGGTTCTATTTAGAGCCAGGAGTTCATTTCATGCTTCATGGTTCTTCGCATGGTGAAATGGTTCTTCAGATTGATGGAGAATATGTTGTACATGGTTCTAGCTTCATAGCACCAAAAAAGGTCTTCTATTGTTACAAGCTTGACATCGTAGCAATAGCAGATCCCTTTTTGGTGTTATGAAGCTAGAACTTCAGAACAGTTTTCAAAATGCCGTATATAGAATACAATATATACAATATATTCTCCATCAGTTCGAAGACTGATGGAAAACTATGCGAAGAACCATTTAAGTATGAAACGAAGATGATTCGTCAAGGGTTCACGGTTGCCTATAACAATGAACCCTTGACGAATCATCTTCGTCAAGAGTGTATGTTTATTGGTTGATCTGTTCTTCATTGTCTTGTGTGCCTGTTGATTTTATGTTGTCATTACAAATCAGTGATTGTTTTCAGTGTCACAGACCTGAGAGGTTGACCTGCCGGTATGGCATCAGCTCCAGCCCAGCAGCCCACTCTGACCATAGAACAGGCCAGAGGTAGAAGAGCATCTTCATCTCTTTATTATTATTATTATTATTATTATTATTATTATTATCATTATTATTATCACACACACCCAGAGATTTTTTTTAAGAAAACCAAGGACTCTTGGTGCTGCTTTGCTACATGAACTATACATATACATATTAGTAAGTTCTTTAATGAGGGAACACTGGTGGGGTCTCTATATGGGCAAAGTCTCCTTACACAGAGGATGAGCAGGCTTTGGCTTTGACCCTTGTGTTGTGCAGCCAAAGCAAAGTGATGTGTAAAAGTCAATTCTGATTTAAATATTAATAATATACGCCTTTATGTGATTTGTGCCACATTACGCCGTTAAAGGGGAATTCCACTGATTTTTCACACCTTCCACATAATTCAAGATTCAAGAGATTTTACTGCCATTTGTACTGGTATAGGACAGTACTGGTGTTGTGGAATTCTTGTGCATATCTCACAGAGTCAGCTTTGTAACAGGCAAAGAAAGGTAATTTAAAGAGCAGCATAAGTAATAAATACACAGTATATAAAAATACACACTATGAATTATTGCATAAAACAAAGCAAAATAAAAAAATTAAATGGTTCAGATGTAAACAGAGTAATTCAGAGTGGTTTGGTGTGAAAGGCTCTGTTCTAGACAAACTTACCGAGTCAGATTCGTTCACACTGGTGGTGACAGGAACCAGACGTCCATCTCTAAAAGCTCCCTCACAGAAAGTTATTATATGTAATGTTATGAATTCACTGCCTGATGTCAGAGACATTGCTTTATGATATCTCTGAAATAAGCTTTTGGTCTAAGCTATTGTGACCGAGAGGCACATGCAGGACAGGACAAAATAGTCACCAATTAAAACTTTTTGAAATTTAGACAGTAAATAAAATGTCTATATTTGTGTTGTAGTCATGGCGACCCCTGTTTCCTATCACCACCACTGTAAAGAAAAAAGGCCCATTTCACACCAAACCACTCTGGATCACTCTGTTTACAGTTTAGCGATTTGAATTACGTAGAAATTTTTTAAAAATTAGGTGGAATTCTCCTTTAACCCAATAAGGGACGGCAGTTTTACAGAGGGGTGTTTTTTTTTCTTTTAGCCTCTTGCTCTCCTCTCTCAGTCCTGATGAAGCTCATTCCAGTATAACTTTAATGTAAGCAGTAATCCATGTATTTTTCTTTATTAGTTGTCCTGAGTGAGGTCATCCAGGCTTTCTCAGTGCCTGAGAATGCAGCTCGAATGGACGAGGCCAGAGAGAGTGCCTGTAATGACATGGGGAAGATGCTGCAGCTCGTATTGCCTGTAGCTACACAAATCCAGCAAGAGGTCATCAAGGCCTACGGCTTCAACAACGAAGGAGAAGGTGAATGACACGTTTTACCAGCAGATCCACCCTGTCTGTCCAAAACTATCCAGACAGCTCATTTAATGAGTGAATTCAGCTATTTTAAGGTGCACCCATCACTGACAAAGACATTTAACTGTACACACACACCAAATATAATCCCCATAGAAAAGCACTGACCAATAGAATGGGACACTCTGGAGTAGCCGCACATGAGTCTAAGGTCACCATGCCCAATGCTACGCATGAGCTTAGGGGGCAGGCCTGTCACAGTTATTACATAATCGGCTGATTGCAGTTATTTGAGATAATTGCAGTTATTTAATCTGACCACAGTTATTTTACACAGTCATTAGATTTCACAATCATATCGTATAATAACAAGCGTAATGTGAGCCGGATGTACTTTCATTAGTTGGCTTAGGCCAAATAAACAGAAATAAAATCATTGTATTTTTGACAGTATTTTTATAATGTAGCACTGTTGGCCCTTTTTTCTCAGTTCAGATGTGTGAAAAATAAATATTGTGAGATCATGTATCGTGAACATTTCTTGAAGTATCACAATATGAAATCTTTGCCATATCACCCACCTCTAATTTACCGTACAGTCCAGTACCATTCTCATGTTAACTGCAGAGCAAGATAGCGAAGAAGACAATTTAGCTGCTTTAGACTTTCTTAGTCACATAAAATGAACGAAACAATTAATTTTTTAATTGCAGTTATTTGTACAACAGTTAATCAGTAGCTAATATTTCATGATAATGAAGGTTTTATAAAGGGGTATAAATCCCCCCAGCATTGGGCTGTGGAGCAGTGGAACTGTGTTCTCTGGAGTGATGGAGCTCCATCTAATACCTTTGGGATGAGTTGAAAGTGATCCAGAACTGACCATCCAACATCAGTACCTGACCTCACTAATGCTCAATCAAAGCCTCACAGCAATGCTCCAACATCTAGTGTAAAGCCTTCCCAGAAGAGTAGAGGCTGTTACTGCAGCAAAGACGGACAAACTCACTAATAATACTCTTCATTTCAGAAGAACCACTGGATGACTAGGTGTCTGCGAATTTGCAAGTAGTGCAGAACTGTAGTAGTAATTTATTTAGAGCAGTAATTTTATTGCCATGTGCACATATACATGTTCTTACTTCTTGGACAAAGACAAAGCAACAGTACAATAAACAGCTTAAATCACGCATGTCAAACTGCGGACCTTCCGGGCCAAAGAGATCAGCGTTTACCCTCATCTAACGCTCTGAATTCAGTTCATGAAGGCCTTGCTAAGTAGCTGATGAGCTGAATTAGGTGTGTTTAAAGAGGCGTTGTGCTGAAGTCTGCAGTGTTTTGGCCTGCGAGGACTGGAGCCTGACACGTGGCTTAAATAGTGCTTGTTTTGTGTGGTTTACAGGTGTGTTGAAGTTTGCCAGACTGGTGAAAATGTATGAATCTCAAGACCCGGAGATCGCTGCCATGTCAGTCAAGCTCAAGTCACTTCTTCTGCTGCCTCTGTCAACCCCGCCGATTGGTGGTGGAATCCCAGCTTCATAGACGAACTGAAATCTGCATCTCACTAACACAGCTTTGTGTTCCCCAGACTGATCTACACTCTGTGTTTCTCTTCTGGAAACGGAAATATTACGCAAATCATGAAGCGGTTTTAAAAAGCACATCATATTCCCATGTCATTCCAGCCTCTGAATGATTTCCATTTCACGTTTTGCTCATATTTATTCTGTTTTGTCTTGTATAAGAGTTTTTTGCTACCTGTACAGGGGGTTTCACACAGATCAGATACAGACTCTCTGATTTACACATCAAAGAAACAACAGGAATTAAGTTTATGAAGATCTGTGTGAAATCTGGAGTTTTCAAAAACACCCAAAAGCTCAATTTCCACCTCACAGTTATGTGATTTTACCCTGCAGCTGAAAAAATGACCCCAGCTGCACTGAACGTTACAGCAGTACAACAATCCCACACAGCAGCTTAAAGATATATTTCAGTGCTTTTCAACCTAATCTCTTATCTGCTGCATCTGTGGCATATCGCTGCTGTCGGAACAAAACCTCATTTAACAGGAGAAGAACACAATGTAAAGGGCAATAGGTATTTTCAAATTATGTCAAAAACTGAAAAACGGCCAAAATGGAGATGAGGTTTTGTTCTCACAGCAGCATTATGTTCAATCACTGCAGAAAAGAATTTAACCTGTTGACTCAAAACTCATTTATAATAGATGCCAGTGGACAGTTGCTGAAGTGATCCTTGAATTGCAATTACAATTGTGCCTACCAAGATCAACATGGTGCATTTTATGGAGCTGTGGAATAACAGAATTTAGGAGCATGCCTGAAACCCCTCCTTCCAGTCTAACGTCTTTTACATTCTCATCTCTACCTTCTGTTTTACAAACCACCACTCCGTCTTCTCAGTCCTGTCCGTCAGTCCTACCACAGTTAAAAAGGCAGGTCTGGCCTTTTAGCTCCAAGCAGAGGCTGCCCAGAACTCCAGCTTAAGTTCTCAGAGTTCTCCTTCCTCCATCAGTCAGTCTCACCTCATACTATCATCATAAAGGCACAATCTGAGCTCTTAGACTCTTAATTAGAGTGATGCCAGTGGGCTTTTTGCTTAAGACACACTTTAGAACCTCTGCCAAATTTTGTAGTTGAGTTTATCTTCTTGTGCAGCAGGACGTTGCATTAGTATGTGTGCTGTGTCTAGTGCAGCTGACCCATTAACTTAACAGGTATTTAGCAAAACACTAATTTTCCCATTTTTGTTAAGGTTTTTTTAAGTATCTTTTTACATTTTTCATTGTGTTATGTATATTAATTCCTTGTGTGCAATAAACATGTTTACCAGGACCAACCCGGTGATAGTAAGACTTTAGAAATGCTTTAAACTGTAAACATGCATCTCAACTAGTATTAACCTATAATCACAGTACAGTCCTTTAGATTATAAAATTAAATTTGGCTTAGTATGTGCAGATATATATCAGTATTAGTCAGTGCTTGTTTTGCTTCCAACCTTGATATGATCAACAAAGATACATTTAAAATATAAATAAATATATATACAATAAATATGTCATTACACCAGGCTTATCCGTTTCTAAGGGATACGTGGCTTTAGTTCTGATGCACTTTTGAAAGATTTGGGTCATTTAGAACCTCTACGTCACAAAAGTGCTCAAAGGCATCTGCACGTCTCTGTAATCGGATGTCCTTCATACTGAAAACTCTCCTTATTGCTTCAGTAATCGGATGGTTTCATCGAGAAAGTGTGCTGCCACTCAGATTTAGTATAATATTATTTGAATATGAGTTATTGAATATGAAAATGGGGAACTCCTCAGATTTTTCAAAATGTCTGCATAATTCAGTGTTTGAGTTGTAAACAGAGTGGTTCAGTGTGAAATGGTTGATTGTAGAGACTCAGATTTCTTTGCAGTGGTGGTGATAGGAACCAGGGGTCGCCATGACTACAACACAAATATAGACATTTTATTTACTGTCCAAAACCACCTGTGAACCTACACGAGTCTTCTGAGTTTATATGGAATGTTTATGATGGGGAAATGTACCTCTCTGCCATGAACGGATTGTAACAATATGTTTTAAGCCCAAATTTTCTCTTAATAATTTGCACTTAATAATCTGATCACAATCAGATTTTGGCAGTTATCTGATTATTCAAGTGGTCTTGTAAACAGCATACTCTGATTTCTTAGATCAGATTAAGGTCTAGAAATCTGATAAAGAGGCTGGATGTGAGCTCAGTAATGAGGGTTTTCAGTGCATGTAAACCAGGGGTGTCCAATCTTATCAACAAAGGGCTGGTGTGGCTGCAGGTTTTCCTTCCAAACATGTAGAGCACACCTGCTTCTACTTGCTTAATCAACTGGTCAGTCTTCAAAGAACTGATCCTGTGTGCTCCTGCTTTATTGCACTGAAAGCCTGCAGCCACACCGGCCTTTTTGCGGACACCTCGCTCTGATTTCTTTCGTTTCTCTCAGTCTGCACGTGTGGGGAAAACAGAGCGGTGTTCTGGAAACCGTTTAACACAGCACCCGTGAGACGCAGCACAACACTTTTGGGGTGACGCTGAAACAGACTACATGCTGGACAAAATGAAGCATTTAAATATTCTTCATCTTCTAGATGATGTATGTTCATATTTTCAGGTAAAGTGACTCGACGTTAAAAAAAAAAAAGGTGCAGCATGTGAGTTTTATGTTATGTTTACGTCACGTCTTCTTCTGTGAGTTTACTGGCTGGTTAAAGCAGAAATCTGATTACTTCCTGACTCATGTAGACCTGGAGTTTCCCCATTATCTGATTACTCAAGAGCATGAAAACACACTGAACCAGTTACTGACACAATCCGATTTTCTGCAGTTATCAGATTATTAAACAGACTCAATGTCTCAGACATCAGGCACCGTATTCGTAACTATTTGTAATGTAAATGTGAAGGAGCTTTTAAAGGGAATCAAATTTTTCTGACGTCTGGTTCCCATCACCACCAGTGTAAACAAATGACTTTTTTTTAGAAATTTTGAAAAAGCAGTGGAATTCCCCTTTTATTTAAGATTGTCAGTTCCCTGTGATCCGTTGCTCGCCTGTTACACTGCAATAAATAAAGTGCTTTAATCATTCAGAAGACGTTTCACTGGTCATGAGACAAACACAGTAAGGCCAGGGGGGTGACCCAAGTACGGTAAACTGCATCTGTGGCAGTTTTACACTTCTGTAGTCCTGGCATTTCTCAGATTGGTCTTTCATGTCGTTGTTGTGCAAATTACATCTAAAAATGGTGGAGGATAAAACGGAAGATTAACTGATGAGCTCACATCTCAAAGTGGCGGTACATGCTTTCTACATAACCCAGAACCCTCTGCCAGTCGGGGCCTTCGTCTCTCAGCATCTCCTCCACCGTCTGCAGGGAAACAAAGACACGTCCATTAAAATCTGCTCTCATCAGTCCAAAAGTCTGGAAATGTTCTCCTGTTTGAAACTAAAGTGATAATAACAAAAACGTAATAAATTCAATAAGTTTGTTCTATCAGCTTATCCTATGTTCTCAAACTACTTCCTAGCCCAGGGGTCGGCAACATGCAGCTCCGGAGCCGCATTCGGCTCTTTTACTGCCCTTTTGCGGCTCCACAGCAGTAATAAGAGTTTTAGGTAATAGTTTGGTGACGAATGGACTTATTTGCATTTATTATCACTCCAGCTGGTTTCCTGATAAGTTTAATCTGCAACAAGAAACTGTCAAACACAAAAAAGTCACAAAGCTGTAGTCAGTTTCTCATTCGCTGGCCTCTTGTTCCTGTTCCACCTTAAATGGTGCAGCAGTTACATTCTGGCACCTCAGGCACCATTTAAGGTGGAACAGGAAAATTCAAACAAGAAGTAAAAAGTCAGCTGAGACACATTTTACAAGAAACTGTTGGACTTGGAGATGTTAGAGATGCGAGAAAAGCGGCTATAGTTGAGCTAAAGCTTGAGGCAGAGCAAAGTAAGCCTGCATTTTTGTTTAGATTTTATTTTTTTAGCCTATACTAGTACATTATCACATACTGAGACACATTTACAGCCACAATGGTAAAATGGACATAAAATGTTGTGGCTCCCAGGGTGGTTTGATTTTTATTGAAAGGACAAAATGGCTCTTCTTAACATTTAGGTTGCCGAAACCTGCCCTGGCCTGTTTGACTGTAATCTCTGCAGGGTTTGACGCTGGACTTACCAGTGTAGCTTTAATTCCCACATTTTCACCAGTATGAAAGGCCAGGTCCAGGTTCTGCCTCTGTAACACAATGTTTAAACTCAGTTTGTCTTCAAATCATTTACCGAATAATTTGTCTTTTTAAAGAACATTTTTAGGGCACATGATGAAGAGGGTAGATATCACTGCTGTCGGAATAAAACCTTGATCTCCATTTTTGTTTTTCAGTTTTTCACATATTTAAAAATGCGTGTTGTCATTATGAATGGGCCAAAAGAAATGGCCAAAAACTGTTCTATTGACTTACATTAAAAGCAGAGTATGTTTTTTTTTTCTCCTGTAAAGTTACTATTTGGAGATACGAGGTTTTGTTCTGACAACAGTGACATGCTGCTTCATCGTGGTCACATTATTTAGATTATACTGAGGGCTGAGTGTAAGCTCCAACAAGACATTTCAAAAGCCTATGGAAAATGGCTTCAGTGTGCCAAATCTTGTCAAGGAATTATTTGCTTTGGACAAAACTCTTGCTTTTTACCTTCTCTTCAGCCTTCAGCGAGCTGTAGGGAATGTGTGTGGGCAGATAGGAGTGATAAACAGCACAAAAGGCCAGACCGTCCTCCCAGCTGCTGCTGAAATTTGTGATTTCTATGTTCTGTTGAAGAGATGGAGTGGGGGTTAGCGGCTGGTGCTGCCAAAGCCAGAAAAAGGGCCTCATTCACCAACTGTTATAAGGAAGAAATTTCTTCTTAAAACCCACTTACACAGTTTTCATAAAGATTCTAACATTCACCAGTGTTTTCTTATTTGGGATTTGTTCTTGGGTAAGAACAGAATCTACACACACTCAAGAGCACAAAGGTGTGAACAATTCTGCGCTTTAAGAACACGTCATAAATCTGACGTACACTTTTTCGTAGGACTTTTCTCAAGAACACATTTAAGAACAAACTTAGGAAGATATTGGTGAATGAGACCCATTATAGTCGGTTGTAATTGAAAATGCCATTGTGGAGTTTTTAAAGTGCGCGCTTAAAAAGGATGGTTCTTCAAAGGTTCTTTGGGGAATTTTTGCATTGTGAAATTGTTCTTCAGATTATTGGAGAATGTGCATGGTTCTGTATAGCACTAAATAGTGTTCTTCTATCATTACGATGTCAGCCTTGTTACAATAGAAGATCCCTTTTTTATGCTATATAGAACCAACACATTCTCAATTTATGTGAAGAACCATTCCACCATGCAAAGGCTTGTTACAACAGAGGAACCCTTTTTGGTGCTATACAGAGCAATATTCAGAAAGGTTCTGTATAGGACCATCTACAGCACATTCTCCATCAATCTGAAGAGCACTTACATGATGCAAAGAAAACTTTTATCATGCATAGGGTTCTTTGAGTGTTCATGGTTCTAGTTTGGTTGTAGTTTGAGGCTGTTAGATCAAAATCAGTCTCACTCTGTATCCTTGCGTCCGACTCTGGCACCAGCGGAGTAGAGAGTTTCTCCTGGACCCGCCGTGTCTCCGCAGCAGCAAACTGAAACCATCCTGAGGCCTGAAGGTTAAGGCACAGAGCAGCATGGGCACCACAGGGATAAAACTACACATTAACACCCACATAATAATAGTCATAATTCAGGCTAATGCACTCGTTATTATAGAAAGGACCTCTACTTAATTCATCCGACCTGATCTTGCTGCTTGATGGAGACAGTGAGTCAGAGCCCGGGTCGTCATCTTTACCTGTCAGACATAAAAACATACCCATTAGAAAAAAAATGTGTTTGTTAAATATATTTTTTAAAAATCCTTCTTCATATTTGTTATTAATGTCTTTCAATGGTATGTCATTTCAACAACGTTTACAGACAGAACTAAACGGCACTGACTTCTGTGATCTGCATTATACTATGCATTAAGCAGTAAGATTTATGTATTAATGTATTTCAAATACACAAGATATCAAATCATAACTGCATTTTCACAGAGTATCAATACCTACAACACTTGCTTTTGTCATGTTAAAGGTTCATTTGCTACTATTTAAAATGAAGATACAAATTCTTAAAATGAATACAAATTCATTTCAAAAGGTATCACACAGTAAAGTGCATTAGACCGTATTCCAGCTGTTTTCATACATTTTCAAATGCATTTGACAAAAACGTACACTTTTTTTGTATGGTACATTTCTATGTGCAATATTTCCCCATACATTTAGAAATAAATGTATTTTAAAATAGATTTGATGAATATGGCAATATATTCTGAAATACAGTTTAGTGTTTGGAATGTATTTCAGCATGGAAATGGGTCATTCTCCATTTATAGTGGGAAACCATGTCACAAAATTTGCAGGGCTTAAAAGGATGTTTAAAATATTAGGCACAGCTCCAAGAATAAGTATGCACATTTACACAGTTGACCTAAAATTAAATAATACTTTTCCCCTATGATTTCTCTGATTTTTCGTATTCATCCTATTTCATAGTCACTCTGCATATGTACAACAGCTTGACATAAAACCAATTTTCAACATTTGAGAAACCATTTTTAATATAAAACAATATTTTTAAGAGGTTTAACTTTGGAAATTGTATAAGGCAGATTCACGTTTACTTTTTATCTCATTAACGTTATACTGCATTTAAAAATATGTATTTTATGTAAAAAATTAATTTGTCACAGAGATTTTGGTCACTGGTGTTATCAGGACCCTTATGTTACATTTTAACACAGTATTTTCAGCTCTATTAAACAGCTTTTTTGGGTCAAGGCTACCCAGAGAGGAAGCATCTCAAGACATGAGAGTCCACACTTGCTCACTGTATGTCATTATTTTATTAATAATTTAGTTTATCAGGCAGCACATAACTTCTATGTATCACTGGTATTATGGGCTTTAATGGCTGGGTAAATGTTGTCAAAATAATGCCATATATCATTTTTATTACTGATTTTAAATACTTGCACAAGGTCACCTGACTGCCAGCGAGTCAGCTAATTACAAAATTCTCTATTTTAACCAGAATGTCACTGGAGTCACAGTCACTGGTGTTATACCATATTCATTAAACACCAGTGACTGTAAAATATGTTTGGAATGAAGCTCTCCTTTATGCATATATGATAATAACAGGTGTTAATGGACATATTAAGCCTATTTAGTTTTGGGATGAAAGAAATAGATTTTTTTAAAAATGTATTCACCTGAATTCCCACTCCAAATGGAGAATAACCCACATGCATTTAACATATTTCAAATATAGCAAAATATATGTTTGTTTGTTTTGTTTTTTTTTTCGCATGGGTGGATAAACTCTTTTGGACATAAATATTGCCCTTTAACCTCCATCAGAAGACTGAAGCTCATCCACATGTGCACCTCTGTGGAAGACAAATTCACTCTTTATCTGTTTTAACACCATTTTTCAGCCTTTTCTTTTAATTTTTTGTCCATGTTTGCATGCACTTTTTTGTATCTCCTATAAAAACAACAAAAATGATAGAAGAACCTGCATTTATGTAGCCCTATTTATGAAATGGATACATAAAACAATGGGAATGCTTAAACATGAGACATTTAATAAGTCGAAAAATGAAATTAAAGGAAGCAGGACTACAAAACAAGCATGGCTATCATGCAGCAGCATCAACATCAGAGCATAAACTCACAGTCTTCCTGTTTTCCTTCACAGCATCACACAGTAGCCCAGAGCGTTGATGGAGAACACTAACATGACTCTGAATGAGTTATATATCACTTTTATGTTACAAGGCTGAAGAGGCACCAATCCGATTTCTGCCTAAATGAGACAGAACTGAGATTGTTTTCTTTTCACTGTGCATGTGCAGATCACTGTGGTCCTCACCTCGGAGGCTTCTGGACCAGCTGTCCTGTCTCTGTAACAGCCGCTCAGGCGTTCTTCTTCCTTTTACTGCCTCCTGATTCTATGCATGCAGCACACATCAGGAAAAGCAGCACCGTAAGGCTTTTATATTCTCTTTTAACAAACTCTGTAGAAGCCTGTAAAGACACTAATTCAAATATTTGCATGCTTTTCACACAGGTAGCATAGTCAATGGACAGTCACCGCACTGTAGAGTAAGAGAGAGCAAGACTGATTTATTGTACAAACTGGCTGTGTAGCTGTGCTCTGGAGACAGTGTGTCTGTTTCCTTCTGTACAGTTTCTGCTGGAAAATGTTTATTTGTCCAGATTTAGATGGATAGTGCAGTAAGTGTGGGAATCTCACAGGGCACCTTACAGTTCGAATCCATTTCAATTCAGAATGCCAAAATATAACTGTACAATTATTTGATTTCTACCTGTGTTCGTCATTATTAAGCAGTGTTAGCTCAGAGGAATTTGAATGTAGCCTAAACTTTTTACTGCACACGTGTTTCACCATTTAACAGGTTTACACTAAAATCTAAATTTAAATTAATATTTGATCTTTTTAATCTTTGTGTCACATATTGTGTACAGAATAGCTCACAGTGTATTTTACATAAACTTACATACGTGTTTTTATGTAGGATAATGTTCACTCTGGTTTTGGGCCTTTTACTTCTTATACTCAAAATTTGTGACCAAATTTCTTTGTCACTGCAAACACACATACATTAGTGAGAATACGGTGTTTTGCAGTGGGGAAAACATGAAGACTAAATGAAAATCTGATTATGATATTTCGTCAGTCAGTTTAGAATCTGAAAAGAAAATCGCGATGCATCTAAATATATATTATTTTTTCCACCCCTACTCTCTACATTATGTTGGAGATTCATAGTAGTTACTGAATAATTTATAGTAGATACTGAATAATTCATAGACCTTACTAAACAATTCATAGTAGATCCTGAATCATTTATACAAGTTAGTGAATAATTCATAGCAATTACTGAATAGTTTAAAGGGGTTACTTTACAATTCACAGTAGATACAGAATAATTCATAGGAGTTACTGAATAATTCATGGTAAATACTGAATAATTCAGTAATGTAGATTCTGAATAACTCATAGGTTTTAATGAATAATTTATAGGAGTCACTAAATGATTCATTGACGTTACTAAACAATTCATAGTAGATACTAAATAATTCATATACATTACTAAATAATTCATAGATACTGAATAATTTGCAGTAGATACTGAATAATTCATATACATTACTAAATAATTCATAGATACTGAATAATTTGCAGTAGATACTGAATAATTCATATATGTTACTAAATAATTTATAGTAGATACTGAATGATTCATAGGAGTTATTAAATAATTCATAATAGATACTGAATAATTCATATTAGCTACTGAAGAATTCATAGCAGATACTGAATAATTCACAGTAGATTCTGAATAACTCATAACCTATATAAAAATCTGATTATGATGTTTTGTCAGTCAATTCAGAATCTGAAAAGTGAGAATTGTGATGCATCTAAGAATACCTTATTTTTTCCACCCCTACTGTCTACATTAGGTTGAAGATTCATAGTAAATAATGAAGAATTCAGTTTTCTTCTTCACTTTTCTAGGACCTCATGTCTGGCTGGTGTAAAAGGTGCAGTGTTCACTCGCTTGGTATTATGTAAGTCTTTTCTAAGCTCTGTTGGTGCACCTGGTTCCACCTGTTAACAAACTTCTCTTTCAAAGACTCCTCAGTAAATTCAGTGCAATCTTTTCCGTTATATAAACAAATCATTCTTAATTAGTAACTGTTAAATCCCCTAAAGAACAAAGCTAAGCTTTACCTTGATCGGGCTTGCTGTGCTGGTGAGGTTTTGGGAGCTCCCAGGCAGGACACATGATGAGTGAGCAGGCAGAGGAATCTGAGAAAGACTCCTGCAGAAAAACCCATTAACATGACTGTTTAGAGTCTCAGAGTCGAGTGACTGATGTTAGAGGAACAGAAAGCAGAAATTAAACCTGTTCTCTACTGTCTGAAGCTGGAGCCTCCTAGCTAAGCTAAGGCTAGCTGGCTCTTCTCTCCTAGCTAACTTAGCTGAAGAGATCCAAACACCACAGTGCAGGTTTGATTCGACTAACTGCTCTGCTATCACAAGTACAGACAATAAAAACTTTTAACAGCGAGAGGAAAGTCGACTGATTGGTCTTGGAGTGACAGAAAGCCGAAATTGGACCTGCTCTGTTAGAGCTTTAAGCAGTAGCCTGCTAGGCTAAGCTAACGCGAGTGCGCCGGTGCCTTCCGCTGCAGTACGGGCTCGGTTCTAGCGAACCGATCACTAAAAACACCCATTTAGAGGATAAAGACTCGTATCTGAGAGCACAAATTTGAATGATTAGTGTTGAAGTGACAAAGATAAAAAACAGAATTGTTCTGTGGCGCTTTGAGTTGTATCCTGCCGGGTGATGCTAATGCTCATGTAGATATCCGGCTACAGGTAAAAACACACCGCAGTACAGGCTTTTTCAGTAACCATTGCTCAAATACCACCTGTTTAGAGGATAAACAAGATGACGAGAGGAGAGCACTCTGAGGGACTGGAGTTGGAGTGACAGACGGAATTAAGCGTGTTTGTGGTGGGCTAATGTTGCTATTAGCCTGTTAGCAGTTAGCCATTCGTGTATTTTTCTTGAATATTTCCTGATTCCGGTCTCACGAGCCAGTACGGCCCTGAAAACCATTTGGCTCGATTGTGGAAAAGCGGCCAACGTTACCCTGTTCTTCAATGGTCAGGACCCCCACAAGACCACCGCAGAGCAGGTATTATTTGGGTGGTGGGTCATTCTCAGCAGTGACACTGACGTGGTGGGGGTGTTAGTGTGTGCTGTGCTGGTTCGAGTGGATCAGACACAGCAGTGCTGCTGGAGTTTTTAAACACTGTGTCCACTCACTGTCCACTCTATTAGACACTCCTACCTTGTTGGTCCACCTTGTAGATGTAAAGTCAGAGACAGTAGCTCATCTGCTGCTGCACAGTTTGTGTTGGTCATCCTCTAGTCCTTCATCAGTGGACACAGGACACTGTCGACAGGACACTGTTGGCTGGATGTTTTTGGTTCTCAGTCCAGCAGCGACACAGATGTGGTTAAAAACTCCAGCAGCTCTGCTGTGTCTGATCCACTCGCACCAGCGCAACATAAACTAACTCGCCACCACCATGTCAGTGCTGAGAATGACCCACCACCCAAATAATACCTGCTCTGGTGGTCCTGTGGGGTCCTGACCATTGAAAAACAGGGTAATAAAGTACGCAGAGAAACAGATGGACTACAATCTGTAACTGTAGAACTACAAAGTGCTCTTGATTGGTCAGTGGAGCTGATAAAATGGACAGAGTGTAGAAACAATGAGGTGGTTTTAGTGAAGTGGCCAGTCAGTGTACTTAGAACAGCACAATGTGACAGAGTCAGCAGCAGACTGTTTACTGTTGGTCCTGTTGTGTTGAATCAGAAGTAGTGAAATGTGTAGATACTGCCCGGAGGATTTTTCTGCCCTGACCTGCCCCCTAGTGGGGAATTTAGGGGTATATATCCCTCGCGTAGCAGCTGTGTGTACAAATAGAATACAGATTATACTTATTATATTAAAAATTGTATTTAAAAGCTCTTTAATTTGGCACTTACTGATTTAATTTGCACAGAAAAACACTAAGAGAATTAATACAAAAATATTAAGTGATTTTATACGTCAATATGTTTATTAAACCATTTCCAAAACTTCTCCTCGTGGCAGCCCAGTATTAATTAATTAAATTTATTCAAGCCCTTGTTAATGGTGGTCTCACCTGGACCTCTCGGACAGCATTATAATCTTCCGTGCCTCTCTCACTGGGACTACCTTCCTCTCTCCTCCTGTCCTCGGTCTCTTGTCGTCCTCTGGGACGTTTCTCTGATTCCTCTGTCTCTCCAGGCTTCTGTGAATCAGTAGTTTTTAATTTACACTCCTCTGTCTTTGGCTCCAGCCTCTCCACCCTCCACTCAGACCTGTGGTCTGTCATTGTGCCCTGATTTCTCTTTTCTTTATCTGCTCCAGTCTGACTCCTCTCCATGGTCTGCTGATCTTCGCAGGGTTTGATCCTTCTCCTCTGTCTGAGCGTGTCCAGCTCAGCCAGCATGCGCTGATGCTCTACGTTGAGTGTGTAGAGTGTGTGTTGTGTTTCTGTGAGTTGGGCCCTCATGCTCTCCAGCTCTTTTTCTCTCAGGCTCTGTTCTCTTGCTGTCTCAACCAGACGCTGCTCTGTGTCTGTATGAGTGTCTTGGAGGCTCCTCAGGGCTTCCTCTGCCTCCAACCTCAAACGGTCAGCCACGGACACGGCCACCCGCAGGTCAGACTGGAACTGCTCCCACTCCGCCCGCTCTGTCTGACAGCAGGGAGGATATACACACCAACCAACAGAGAAAAGGAAACACATAAAGTGCACTTTAGTAACTCTGTATCCAAAAATATAATCAATTAATTTTAATATATTTTAACCCCTTGAACTCCACATTCAGTTATTAATCATTAGGCTTTAATCATAACTACTATGAATTATTCTGTAACTTGTCACGCCTCAGGATTCGGACTTCATTTCCCAGAATGCTTTGGGAGATCACGTGTCTGAGCAACTCCCCTTGGACTCGGAGTCCGGAACGAACTCCATTGCCCACAATCCCTTGGGAAGATCACATGACTTCGGACAATCACTCGTGCACCTATCAGCGCTCACAATCCCCTGAATATTAATATCTTGCACCTGTGTTTGTTGTCATATGACTAATCTAGCATAGTATTTAAGCCCGGGCTTTAGTCATAGTCGTTGCGAGGTATTCTTCTTTCTGAACTTACTGAGTGGTTGATATTGCCTGTTATGACCATTTCTTTGTTTACCTGACCTTGTCTTTTGCTTAGCCCTTTTGTACCTTTGCTTGCTTGTTATTGGATCTGTGTTTTTGACCTTTTTGGCTTGTTGTTTCGGCCACGATCTTTGCTCATTCCCTTTGTTTTGGCTGCCTGGTGTTATGATCACTTTGGTGATCCTCTTGTGTTTTTTGGCTACAACCCACGCTTGTTTTTTGACCACGCCTTTGCCGAACGTTAAAAAAAACCCTGTTTGCCCTTTTTATCCGCAAGCGTCTGAATTCTGTTGAACCGTCACATAACTACTACGAAGTATTTACTAACTATTATAAAGTATTCAGTATCTACTATTTAGTAACTATTATGAATTATCTAGTATTTGCAATAAAGTATTCAGTATTTACTTTGAGTTATTCAGTATATACAACCCTGTTTCCAAAGAAGTTAGGATGCTGTGCAAAATGTCAATAAAAACACAATGCAAAGATGTACAAATTATTTAAGCCCTATATTTAATTGAAAATAGTACAAAGACAACATATCAAATGTTGAAACTGAAAAACTTCATTGTGGTTCACCACCATGTGAAAGACTGTGCAGGCAAAAAGTGCAACAATTCAAGAATAATGTTTCTTGATGTGAAACAGCAAAAAACTTGGGGATTTCATCATCTACGGTACATAATATAATTCAGAGTCCAGAGAAATCTCTGTATGCAAGGGACAAGGGCGAAAACCAGTACTTGTTGGCCGTGATCTTTAGGCCCTCAGGTTCATTGCTCCATCCACAAATGCAAGTCAAAACGTCACTGTGCAAAGAAGAGAAATATATAAACATGATGCAGAAACGCTGCCGCCTTCTCTGGGCCTGAGCTCATTTAAGATGGGCTGAGGCAAAGTGGAAAAGTGCCCTGGACGTCACGTCCTCTGGGCTAAAGAAGAGGGACCATCCGGCTTGTTATCAGCGCACAGCTCAAAGCCAGCATGCGTGATGTTATAGGGGTGCATTAGTGCACATCTGTGAAGGCACCATAAATACTGAGAATAAATACAGGTTTTGGCAACATATGCTGCCATACAGACAACGTCTTTTTCAGGGAAGGCCTTGATTATTTCAGCAATGTCAAACCACATTCTGCATGTACTACAGCAGAATTACTCCATAATAAAAGAATCCAGGTGCTAAACTGGCCTGCCTGCAGACCTGTCATCCACTGAATACGTTTGGAACATTAAGAAACTAAAAGGAGACCCCAAACTCCTGAGCAGATTAAATACTTAATCGAGCAAGAATGAGAAAACATTTCACTTTCAAAACTACAGCAGTTCGTCTCCTCCGTTCCCAAACACTTACAGAGTGTTGTTAAAAGAAGAGGTGATGCAGCACAGTGGTAAATATGCCCCTATCCCAACTTTTTTGGAACATGTTTCTGGCATCAAATTCAAAATGTAATGTTATCTTTTTACTATTTTTTAAAAATTAAATATAGGGTTTAAATGATTTGCACATCACTGCATTCTGTTGTTCTTTATTTTTTGCTCAGCGTCCCAACTTTTTTGGAAATGGGGTTGTATATTATCAGGATAAACTGAGTGGGGAGAGCTTTCTGGGCTTTGATCTGTGCAAGAATCACAAAAAGGATAAATTAAGACATTTGCTTTGTCATAAAGATTTTGCCGACCTTTAATGTCTCCTTAAGGCTCTGAATCTCTGCCACCATCTTCTCTCTCTCCGCCAGCAAACTTTTTAGCAGTCCTGACACACACACACAAACACACACATTATTAATGACTCTTGTCCCATTTGTGTTCCTGGGCTGCAATCTTAAATACTTTGATAAAATATCCACAGCGGAAACATTAAAGAATTTGTTTAAGAATTCGTTCTAAAACTACAGGCATTTTTACAACACATTTACAATATTTACCATACAATATTTACCACTGGATGTATAAAACAACCTCTCTTCATTTGTTGCAGAAGTTCTGAAATGTGATCCTAGTTTGTAAAAAAAATTAATTGTGGTATTGTAAAACAGTGCCACTTAGTTTATTTTACTATGTGTCAGGCACTGTGGTGTTCTTTACAGGCTCTGAGGGACGATATTGTGTCCAGCTATTAACATTATTAACCCTATCAAACCAAAACGTCTCATCAGTGATTTAGTTGTCGTGTTTGTCTCTTTTAACTGAATAAAATTTGGGCTCAAGAGGGAGAGCCTGAGATGTGATCAATCCTAATGGCTACTTAAACATTAATTTTCAAAGACAGAACAGATATATACACATATTAAAGGGCCCTATATAAATAAATACAATACACATATAGCCATACAGAAAAAAGAATGGCAATAAAAGCTATAAAATTATCTGAAGATGAGTAAAAGTGCTTTGTATGTGACTTTGTATGGCAATAAAGCAAATATCAAAACATATGAGCTTTCATGCAACCGTTAAGTTGAATGCATGAAAAGGGTCACAGCGTAAAGCCAGCCTTACTAATGTTTTATCAAAGTAAGAATCAAATAAATGCAACAGTAACTTTAATGGAGAACAGTGCATTTGATGTTAAAAACCTCTGCTTTCCTTCATTGATCTTAAAGAGACAACCGACAGGGATGTGCAGATTTGGTTACTGAAGGGGTATGCGGCCTAAAATATCCTCTTACATAGTCCCTAGTTTTTTATGTGTGGTTCTTTTATTTAATTAACATAATTGCCCTTCCCTATGCTTCTGTGCCTCAATCTGTATGGCCCAATCCCATTTCTTATTTTTACCCCTACCCCTTGTTTTTGAGCGTCACCTTGCCCCTTAGAACTGAGTTACAAGAGGTAGTTGTTGCCATCTTGCCGCTTTTCTCTTTTCTAATAAGACTCCATTTGGAGTGTGTCTCTGAAAAACCTCTGTTTGGAGGGCCATGTAGCCCCAACACTTCGCCCTACCCCTCTATCTCAACAAAAATTGGGACAGCCTACCCCTAGACATTTAACACGCAAAAGAAGGGGGTAAAGCTAAGTGGTAGGGGTGGGGGTGAAATGGGATTGGGCCTAAGAATCTTCTTTCTTCTGATCAATGAGTGCGATACCTTCAGAGACCGGTACCTACCTGCTGCTCCAGCTGGTCCTGAACACAACCCCAGAGATGCTCCGTGCTGCTCTAGCAGCCTTAAAAGAGTGAGGGCCATCTCCTGCACTGCCTCCATTTCTCCTTCTGCATAGCCAGATGGTCCTCTGCCCTCTTCTGCTGGAGACGCTGCATCCTCTAAAACAGTGGCTTCACTTTGAGGTGAGCAGGATGGAGAGTGAGTGCCACCGGTTGCTGGAATGATGCTGTCCTGCATCACAGTGTCAAACAACTGAGCGTCCAGGGCTGGTGGTGAAGGCAGTCTGGGTGGGGTCAGTGTTGTAGGGGAGGTGGAGGGAGTCTGGAACAGATGAGACCCTGGAGGAATAAAAACAGCTTATACTTATGATGATATTGGGATATGAAGCAAGGCACCATACTGCTGGTTAGAACACCTGGAACATTCGTTCTGCACTCATGTCGTTTAGTTTGATGACAGTTTCTAAGAATTGTCAAATTCTTTTCTCCACTGTTTCTCCCTTCGCAAGTCAGCAAGATGAGCAGATTTTGACTTTGATTCTCAACCTTAATCAAGATAACTCTTAGAACTTCCACAAGACCACAATGCCATTTTGGTAGGTGAGCTATAACTCTGACTGCTCTGATAGAGCTCATCTCAGCACCGTTACTGCATTGACAACCCTGCAAGTAAATAAACAACCAAGCAAAATAGACCAGAATGACCACTAAAAAGATTTAAAGACATGTAGACACGTTAGATGCAGTCTCCACAAAACGCTAAGAGAAGATTAGCTAGATTGGTGGACCAGATCCATATAGATATATATCATTGGAATACTATCAGTTAAGAACACTGGGCCTCATTCACCAAGTTTTCCTAAGTTTTTTCTTAATTGTGTTCTTAAAAAAGAGCCTAAGAAAAAGTCTACATCAGATTCATGACGTGTTCTTAAACTGCAAAACTGGTCACACCTTTGTGCTCTTGAGTGTGTGTAGATTCTGTTCTTACCTATGAACAAATCCCAAATAAGAAAACACTGGTGAATCTCAGAACTCAATCTTCCAGAAAACTCTAAGTGGGATTTTAAGAAGAAATTTCTTCTTAAGAATTGTTGGTGAATGAGGCACACTGTCCAGTGCGTACAGGGCCCAAATTCTACGTTTTCCTTGTATTTAT